ACCTAATATTTGTGTGTACTGCTGATAAACATAATATTTGTGTGTACTGCTGATAAACCTAATATTTGTGTGTACTGCAGATAAACCTAATATTTGTGTGTACTGCAGATAAACCTAATATTTGTGTGTACTGCAGATAAACCTAATATTTGTGTGTACTGCAGATAAACCTAATATTTGTGTGTACTGCTGATAAACATAATATTTGTGTGTACTGCAGATCAAACCTATACTTGTGTATACTGCAGATAAACCTAATATTTGTATGTACTGCAGATAAACCTAATATTTGTGTGTACTGCAGATAAATCTAATATTTGTGTGTACTGCTGATAAACCTAATATTTGTGTGTACTGCATATAAACCTAATATTTGTGTGTACTGCAGATAAACCTAATATTTGTGTGTACTGCAGAGAAACCTCCTAGATTGGACAGAAATAAAAATAATATTTGACCCTCCGTGCAATGATGGCAACTCCCGATTCACAAAGTTACCCTTGAAACCTTTATAGGATAAATGAAGTGGAAGAAATTGTCGTTTTTCTAGGTTTAAATCTGATAATTTCTACATGTTTTCTTGCAGTAGCAATGTTCAAGTCAATTTTGATTAGAACTGTAAGAAATCTAGATGCTATAACTTCAATGATAACTCTACTCAAAGTCTAACTAGAACATATCTAACTCTATCTTTTGCCAAAACTCAAGGCTCTCTATTCTCAGCCAATACTCAAGGCTCTGTTTACGTCCGTATTAATCAACGAATTCTATTGAACTACCTTATTTATAAACAGGTAAAAATGAAACTGACCGGGCTAGCCCGGCTGGGTCAACATACAAATAATTAAGATAACGATATTACTAGCATGAATAACAAAGATAGAATTGCACATCATTACAGAATATACTTCAGAACCCACATTTCAAAATAATCAGTTTATAAAGTTGTAAACATTGATATATATAATTAATATTATATCAGACACATTCTTTAAGGGTACCGTTGTGAATCGGACATTGCTATCTTTTGCATTGACGATCATTTCAAATTAAAGCTGGCAGTCTATGTTTAAATCTCAATGTGTATTGTGTATTATACTGTGTTAAAAGCTTGTAAAAATACGGTAAAACATTACCAGTGCAAATTATACAAAGAATTAACATTTTTTTAGAAAAAATTAGATTTTATAATATATGAGAAATATCCACACTTTCTAGAACAAAACTTAATTGAAAGTGACCCTGATTTTTAATATGTCTCAAAGTAGTAATATGGAGACTTTAACGAGTTTTACAGAAATTTCGCAAATTACTTATGTTTTAAACCATATGAGGTCTAATGACTAAATTCTGATTCCAATTAGAAAGTATCACGATCATCATTCACTAAGATTACATCATTAGTTGTTTTAGAAAACACACAAACCACTCTCACTTCCTTGCTCGGTTATGTATAGAAGACTGTGTAGCGCTTCCCCACCCCCGTCCCCCCTCCATCAACTGGTTTTTAAAGGGCTCTAGAACCTCTTAATTGAATTTAAAATTTTAAACATAACTCTTCCGCAATCATTCTTGAACTAGTTCAATTTCGCTTATTCTAGATGGTTCAAAGCCCGTGACAAAACATGATTTGTAATATTTAAATTAAGGTGTTCCAGAGCCCACACCTAGGTAATAGCACTATGAAGGACTTGTTGTTAGTTTTAGTTTTTAGGAAGTAATTGGCAAAATTCTCATCAATATTTGCTTGAGGACGTGAGAACTTCAAATCACAGTGCAATGAAAATTGCAAACTATAGCGTAAGGTGCATCTTTATATTCTCTATTCTCTGTACTTTTATTCTGAAGAGAATAATAGATAAAAAAGTGAATAATATTGATGTATGGCGGAATATTTTGGTAATGATATTATATATATAGAATATTGGTAAATATATTCATAAAACCTTTACTCAGCATCAGGAATATAATAATAAAGATGAATAAATTTAATATATCTTTACATCAATCTCCATCTATATATATACTTTGCTTGTCTGTCTGTCTGTCTGTCTGTCTATTTTTATCCAATAAACTTCAAAACGTCAAAACCGATGGGGCAAACTTTTTTTTATATACTGTACAAAGAGAAGATGCTCACAGATAAAGCCACAATTAAAAGTTGAAATAAAGGATGGGCGCGAAGGTCCCTAAAAGCCTAGTCTGTATATATACTTTGCTTGTTTATATATAATTTCGTTGTCTGTTTTGGTGTTGGTTTGTTTGTATCCAATAAAAGTCAAAACGACTGAACCTATCGGGCCCAAATTTTTTACGGGACCTCGTGTGACCCTGCAGGGAAGATTTATGGATGATTGAAGTTCAAAAATTTGCTTCTAACAAAATTTGATTTTTGAATATTTTGAAAATCCCCGAAATATTTTGTATAAATTCCGCAAATTTTTGTTTTTATTTTACAATAAATTCAAATAGAAAATGTTTACAAATAAAATAGAAGATGGGCGCGAAGCGCCCTTAAAGACTATAGTTTATATGTATTTTGTGTGGGAACTCACTTGAACCCAGGAAAGGTTGTGGACAACCAAAATTGAAAAAGGGACCTCGTAAAATATGTCGAATTATTTTTTTTGAAAATGTGCCATTTTTAACAGAAAATCCGCCAAAAACGACGAACAAAGAAAAACGGCAGCCTGAAGGGCAACGGTAAAGCGGTAAAGCCGTAAATAGAAAAAGGGCGCAAAGCGACCTGTAAGCCTTGTCTGAATTCTGCCTCTAAAAATTAGATTTTAAACAGATAAAACAGCATCAAAAAGCTATAGTCTTAAACATTTTGAATAAAATGTTAAAAGGTTAAACAATATGTTTTTTTCCTTACCGTGGATTTAAAAAATCTGATGCGTCATGGTTCTAAATAAGTAGGGCCGGGCCCTGCTAAAACAAATGAGTTTTTAGTTAAATAATAAAATAAAATTGTTCTTGTAATTCAAGTGAACTTCTTTTTAAAGAGAAGATACCCGATTCACAATGGTACTATTTCAATCTTCTGATAAATAATGTGATTGTAAAAGATATCGTGTCGTTTTTCTGATTAGAAACATTTCTAATTGTTTCTGTTTGTTTTTGTATTTCAACCTAAACTATTGGATCCAAGCATAATAAGGAAAACAGGAAAATAGACTAAAAATAATGAATTAAAATAAGACATCCAGAATTATATAGAATTTCTTTAAAATATTGAAAAGAAAAAATAAATTTACTTTTATTTGCAAACGAGAATTGTGTTACATTAAAAGTTTTATAGCTTTAAAAATTTTAAATTTATGATTGAGAAAATTATATGACTTTTAAGGTTTCAGTTTTTTTGTCAATCAACACAACGTGAGGGAAACAAGAAATATATATTTTTCTCATTCAAAATTGTACATATCTAAATTGGCATTTAGCACAATTTAAATTTTCATTAAACATTCACACTGTCTCCCCTTTTCTCTTTACGTATGGTCGCTATTTTCAAATCCGGAACCAAAACTATAAGTTATATAAATTATCAAGGACTAAAGGGTACATGTTCAAATTACGCTAATGACACTCCTTAAATTTAACAGAACCGTGAAACAAGGTTAACAATCTCTTTAAACTGTAAAAATACGCGTGTTAAACAATCGATTTATTTTGATTATCATATACTTGGATATATCAGGAATAATGCAGGACCAGGATGATAACTTATGAAAACATGGTTATGTCCGCCAACATTTAAGATATTGAAGATTTCCAGGTTTAAAAATAAAAGAAAAACATTCCAATGTGCATTGTAAAATGTAGTTGTGCAGGTGTTACATTTCTGTGAGTTCAACTGAAAATGCGATAAATATATGATCCAAACCGGTAGAAGCAAGGTTGTAATGCAAGGAAAGTTATTTCAGAGGTGTACGCATCTATTGTACTGAAATGAACTGTCACTGGGCGGTAATGTAAACACCAGACGGATGTCGAAGCCTGACATGGGATCCACCTTTCACATAAAAAATCAATGAAATATTCTGGTCATAGGAAACTATAATGTGAATTATCAAAATTATCAAAATTAAATGCTTTTAACCTCCTCGGATACTAAACGAACACTGATGCATCTATTCTTGTTTACAAATTCCGCCCAGAGAGAACTGGTTTCAATATGTACGCAGAGTATACGCAACTGCAATTAACTTTCCTTGCATTACAACCTTGAGTAGAAGTATTTACCAGTCTAGTATAACCGTACTTTATATTATTTACCCGTACCGGCTGGTCTATAGACTACACAGTTGATGGTCAACCCGGCACATGCTGTCTGGCTAATTGATTATACCATACAAAAGTTACATTTATTTAGCAAAAAGTTTAAAATTTGTTAAAACTTGTATTTTTCACAACATTATAAAATGTTTTGCAGGGTTCATGTTTATTTTGATAAATATCGAAATAAGGTAAATAAAAAAAATTATGCTATCCTTTTAGTTTTATAAAAGATCTGTTGCTAAATATTGATCTTTATTTTTTTATATTCATCTTTGAAAAAACATTGTTAGTTTTGTGTAAAACATGTTTATCTACAATTCGTTAAGTTTGTCCGTACTTCAATGTTTAATTTCATAAAGAAAATTTCACCCTCCAGAAAATAATTTTATATCATCAAAGAGAAAATGTCTGTGATGCTTTCTTGAAATTATTTTCTATCAACTTAAATCAATAAGGATTTATTTTCCTCGACATTTAAAAATAGTTTTTCATCTAAAAATATTTAAAAGAATTTTGTTTAGTCGAATGTTTAAACACGATTAGTGAAATTGACTAGTGATTGGGATTTTTAAACATTCAAGGTTTCCAGAAGGCACCTGCACACATTCTGGAAAAAATTAACTTTTTTATTCTATAATGAAATAATTCTACAAAAAAGGTATATATATATATTTTTGACAAAATGAAAATTTAAGCTTTACTTTGCCTTTTAAACTTTTAAACTTTTGAATGCTTTTTACTTTTTTATCATATTCATACTGTTTGTAGGGAAAATAGCTCCACTTTTGATGAGGAGAGAAAGTATAACGTATTATTGTTCATTTAATTTAGAAAGTTAAACATAATGACATTTTTAAAAAAAAATTTTTAATCAAGATAAATTTTGATCTTTTCAGTTTGCCTGCAAATAGATATTTTAACACCAGTGAAAAAAAACTTTAAGCTTTCGTTGACATTGCAAAGCAATTGAGAACTCGCCACAATAATTTTTTTATTTATATTTTCGCAACCTGATGCAACCATTAATATATCAAACTTTGTTTAGCTGATCTGACAGAATTCATAATCTAAACTATGAAAATACCTTTTACACGGTTACAAAAGTTACAATGGTTCATGTTACATTAGGTTACATAGATATCTTGGTTGAACAAATTTAATACATAAGTTCTGAGCAGAATTTGAATTAAAGACGACTTATTCCAACTGAGATAAGTATCCAGCGGGGCATAAGAAAACTCTTTGTGCAAGGAATCTTGTAATTTATGATATAACTTTTAATAAAATTATGATTGCAAAGAGATTGTAAAGTTAAAGATTGCAAATTGAATACAAGTTTGCACTGTTATCTTAAACCCTCCAAGGTTGCAAACTCGTGTCAAAGGAGTCAAAGTGGCAGAATATCTGCCAAGATTAATCTAATCTTAAAAGGATATATTTGTTTATTTGAACCTGCATTTTGTCCCGTATTTTTAGTAAGCGGTGGAGAATGACTTCTGTATTGGAGTACTTCTCTTTTTCGATGGTTTGCGTTCAATCTTTTTTGGTCGTCTTCCAGTGGTTGTAATTCGTCGGGCTCGTCGCATTGTGTCGTACATTTCCCCAGTACACAGTTCGTCTTCAGTATCATAGTTCTCAGCTCTATAACATAATACCAACACAGATGATAATATTTGTAAAACTTTATCAAAAACGAAACATATTTTTGATTATAATATTTTGAGGAAAAACATTAAAGAAAAACATAAAGGAGCTGTAAGCAAAATTTCACGTTAATCTCCTTGCAAATGCCCGATTAACTATAATGCTAAAGGGACTGTAAGCAAAATTTCAAGTTAATCTCTTTGCAAATATGACAATGCCCGATTAACAACAGTACCCTTGAAACCTTAATCTGATCAAAAATGATAACGTCGTTTTTCTGACTCTAAAATTCTGATAATTTCTGTATTGCTTCTTAAGAAATGCGCAAATTACTTGTGCAGAGAAACTTCAAATGAAAATAAACAGTTTAAAGAAATAAAAACATGGATATCTAGTTCATACGTGATCAGAAAAACCTTTCTAAATCAAGTATTAACATTTTTGCATGGAATTAAACTCCCTGTAAAGCTAGGAACTGTTAAATAAAGATAAAAGGGGAGTATAGGCTGAAACCTAAGTACCTTAGGAGTTGATTAAGACCTATAAGAGTTCTATCTGATGTTTTACGTTTTAAACAGATCATATTCAGAAAATACGCAACCAATCTGAAAACTACGATAGCCCAGAGGAGTCTAAATAATTAAGATTTGCTCCTAGCCCTCCGATTATAATTTTATCTTTTCAATTTTTCATTTTAAAGATATAATTGATAGGTCTGTATCCCATGACCAAAATTTCCATCTATGGCTCCTCTGGGTTATTTTCAGATTGGTTGCATATTTGCTGAATATGATCTGTTTAAAACTTAGATTCTTATACCAAATCTCAAATGTATAAGTTTTGGTAAAATTTTGACACATTATATATCAATTTCTTGAGACAGGAACATCAGATAAAACTCTTATAGGTTTCGATAAACTTCTGAAATTCTTAGGTTTCAGCCTTTAACCTGCTTTCATTTTTCCTCAACAGTTCCTTTAAGCTCGTTTAGTTCAGAAAAATAATCTATACCTATCCCAGGAGTTTGAATAGTACCCGGAGCTGGATCCGGAAAACTGTTCCATTGATGGTTCCCTGATAAACTCCTTGGTGTAATTCCTACAGAACAGGAAGCTACAGATAAAAAGATTCATAATATTTTGACGAAAAAAATGAAGCAATTTTTTTCTATTTTCATTCATCAGCAAAATTTAAAATTTTGAAGTTCAAAAATGTAAATTATTTTTAAGACAGCACTTTGGTCTTTGAGGTTTAAAATGTTGAGAATCTGAAAAGGCAAAGAATTTGCGATATTGGGAAGGAATTTAATATCAGGTTCATTTCAAGGCGTAGACAGAATTTCAATTAAATACAATTTAAAAGTAATCTCAAGCCCAGATAAAGCATAGAACTGATCTACATAGTTGGAACCATGACGCTAATTTTACCTGGAACTTCTGTGTAGTTCGTCATCCGTTAAACTTTTCTCCTGTTCAAGGTTGTAAAAACATACATCCAAGTTTCCGTCCCTAAGTCGTCTTTGCTCCGGTTGATTGCGTTTATACCGAGGCGGAGAAAAGATGAAACTTCTTTTTTCCAGCTTTAGTTTTCGGGAAGGAGCTGGGGAGTGTGCATGTGCTATATCAAACTCCGGTTGTAAAACAGGTTCTTCCTTTAACACATGCTGCTTTTGTAAAAGTCTGTAACATTTCTGTCCTTCCATATCTTCATTTACATTTTTCGTATCGGGAATAAATTGACTTTCTGATTTTTTCTTCACTTTTTCACAGAAAATAAACTGGTAAGAGATGCCCCCGGCCAGGGCCCCAAGACTAGTTCCTAGCCAGACAACCCAGTGGTTCTGAAACTGGTTTGAGAGAAACACGGGTCCGAAGGCTCTTAAAGGATTGATCCAAAACTGTGCTGAAGACAGCAGGGCAGTGTGGACGGCGCCAATGATTATGGCCGCCTCTAGATCTGGCTGTTTTATAGAATGGAAATAAACAATTGCCATGATAAATGTAAGGATAAACTCTGGTCCTAAATCAGATATTGAGGTTGGTGTCAGTTTTGTCTTTGCTCCAAGAAGTCCAATTACAGTTCCACATCCAGATATTGCTCCCCCACATTGCGCAACAACAAACAGAAGAGCTTTGACCGGAGAGACCTGCTTTAAACACATCCTTGTCATGGTGATAGCTGGGTTCAGGTGGGATCCAGATACAGGTAGGAACACATGGGTCAGGAATACCATACTTAGTCCAACCGTCAATGCCTAAAGGACAAAAAATTTACTCCTTAAAATAGGAGACATCCTTAACAATTACATATTGCAAACAATTACACAACATTAACAATTCCAAATTATTGCTAACAATTAACCATTGTGAATGACCTAAACTTTAGAGAAAAGGTACAATTGACAATTGATGATAAAAATGAATTGAAATTTTTTCGAATTGAACTATTTAGAAAGTAACAAATGCTAAACGAACTATCCAGCTTGTAATTTCCTCATTTACGAACGCTTTAAAAATTAAGAAAATGCTCAATTTTAAATTAAATATTTAAATTTTGTTCTTGGCACCTTAAAATGATCAATTTTTGTATTTGATTGAAGTTTGAATGATATAATGGTTTGTATTGATGAACCATCTAATATCTGGTGACAACGTTTACATTTCCAAGTTTGACATTATGTAAATTAAAGAAAACTTCAGATCTTTAGACTCTAGGTTTCAAATTACCAAGTTTCCTGCAGTTTCTAAATAAGTTTATCATGTAACTGAGACAAAACCTACTCTTTTCAACACTAAATTACAATGTAAATATGTTCATGCATTGTAATATACCACGAGTAGCCGTAGCACATTTGACACTCCTGGTCAACCTTTCCGGTCCCAGTTTGTACTGTACCGCACAGACATTAGGTTAATAAAGCAGACAATCAACAAGACTAGTCAATGCAACATGGTTGACGCGGTCAGACTTAAGCTTCATATAGATTTAATTTACTTTTACTAAAGGGGCAGAGGTGCGTGATACATGCTCACTTTGACCCTAAAACTTTTCTCACCCCCATTAACATGGTTTGGGTACAGATGGGCGCCTTCGGTTTTTTTTCATGTAGTTCGTTCATCGTTTGTGAACACCAATTCTGTTCATTATTTTTTTGTGGTCAGTAAAAACAATAGTTTTTTAGTCAAGTTCGTTTGTACGATTTTAAAAGGTCAGTTTTTAATTTGTTTATAAAAAGCGATTGTTTTTTCTTAAATGTTCCAAGTTATTTGTCCATCATTCGTTTTTTCTCTGAGCAACACCATCGTTTACGATTTTTTTTATCAGAGAACGATGCACATCTCTAGGTTTGGATTTATGTCCAATATCCTAAAAGTTTAAAAGTAACATGTTTATGTTGCAAAGTACATCCCATAAATCCCTTGTGGAGAAAAGAAACTGTTAGGAAGATGTTTCATGTATGCAGTTAATCTAGGATGTTTTATTCCACGGATAGTAATAGTATTTACATTGCAATCAGAGCCTGAAACTTTAAACAGATATCTTAATGAACCGTAGTGTCAGAAACCCGGTTTCATGAACGGAGTAGATACTTATAATATTTTTGTTAATAAATATTATTTCATGTGGGTTCCGTACATCCTAATTTTGTTTTCTGATTCCTTAATAAAAATCTACGCAAATGCATAGACATAAATAGGACTGGTTTTGTTCAAATTTTTAAAAATCGTTCTTTCCGTTTCGTTCTGTTCGTTCCTGTAAAAGAACGATTGTTCCCCAGGAACGACACCCATTTTTCAAAAGAGACTTTTTTTACTTTTTTAGGATTGCAATGTTTAAATCAATATTTTTTTTCTATCCTTGCTTTTCAGAATCCTTGGTAAGGAACTTAAAACCATGTTTTATGATTCCGGAAATATATTACATCCAAGCTTCTTGTATATTTCCTGTATGTTATGAATAAGGAAAACCTGGAGTTCACAGGGATTCTTCAAATTTTTTAGAAAAAAACTAAATGACTAAAGTATTCAAATTGTTGTTTTTTTTTGAGAGTACCTTTATAAAGTTAAAAACCCTTTATAATAAATTAAACTTTTAAATTTAGGAGTGTAAGCGAAGCATGTATAAAATGTCCAAAATGAACTGTAGTATAAACAAACAAACCTGTTATTCAGCATTTTTTGTAAATGTGGATTTTTACACCTTTTGTCTGATAACAAAGGATCCAAAGTTTAGTAAAAGAAATCTCTAGATTCATAGAAAACAAACCTAGTGCCACAGAGAAGAAAATTAATAGAGTTTATCCACTACAAACCTTGTGCCACAGAGAAGAAAATAAATAGAGTTTATCTACTCAAACCTAGTGCCACAGAGTAGAAAATTAATAGAGGTTTTTCACTACAAACCTAGTGCCACTGAGAAGAAAATAAATAGAGTTTATCCACAACAAACCTAGTGCCACAGANAAAAATTTTTGCGAATCTTTAACAAATCGCGGATTTTCAAGAATTTAATTTTTTTTACAAAATTAAAAACCTTTAAAACACATTTTTTAAAATTTTTATCATTCATAAACCTTCCCTGTGGTCACGTGATGTCCCACAAAAAATTTGGGCCTGATCGGTTCAGCCGTTTTGACGTTTATTGGATACAAACAAACAGACACCCAAACAGACAAACAGACAGACAAGCCAAATTTATATATAGATTATGCAAGGACAATAAAAATAAATAAAATTCTGATTTGAATATATATAATAAAAATTTTAAAGTTTATTTCAAATTACAAAGCTGTTCTTTAACTATGTTGTATTATCTATCCTCTACTTATACCTCTACTCTGTGCCTAATGCATTATTTCAATTCTATAAACCTTTCCTAGCGCCCACCACAAATCTTTTCCAGACAATAGTTCCTGGACGGATATTTATTCTCTCACATTTATCTTTCCACGGTGGAGGTTAATTTTATCTCCTGTCTCAATAGTTTGTAACATCAAGCTATAAATATATTTGGCTTGTCTCATTTTTTTCTGCCTCGCAAAAAAGCAATATTTACGATTTGTGTCAATCCACCAATTTAAACAAAAACAATCCGGGGAAAACAGAATTACTGTAAAATGGCCGTGAGGCGTTATAAAGCTTAGTTCGATACTTATTAGTTTTAAATGTAATTTTAAGTTTTCTTTTAAGAAACAATGGAATATAACTAATGCATAAAAATGATAGTATTGTAAACTTTCTAACCGATTATAAACATAATAAATGTTATTTATGCCAGCGACGAAAAACTTTATAAATCTTATTTTCGTTTTTATTAATGTCGTCATTAATTGTAGATTACGTATTTCTTGTTTCCTACAAAGATTTATCTTTATGTCGGGAAAAACCATTAAAAAGGTTCTTTTTCACCAAGAAAAGATTCAGTCTGTCATTAAAGGATCAAGTACTACGTAAAACCCAAAACCTTTCAGAACGATAGAAATAGTTTTGAAGAACACATATCTTCATTTTTCTTATAGTGAAACCCATAAAACTGTGGAAGAGGAAGACGACACGAAATACTGAAATTGTGCAGAGTAAATGTACACTTTAGAAGTAGATTTTAAAGCTTTAAAACAACACATAAGATTGCATTAATATTATCTTATTATTCTGCAGTATTATGGGTTAAATTTTATTACAGGAATATTTATATTTGAAAAGAAAATACTGAATGAGTGTAAATGATGTATTGCTGTTTTATCCTGTCATGTACATTGTACATATTATACAGGGGGACCCACAAATAAAGACACTGTAATGACGACCTTAAACTCTTTAATCGGAAGTTTAAATATGGCTTTCTTTTAAAGATATGTTTTTGTACTTTTGTCAGTAAAAGAAAAGAGTGTACATATAAAGCTGGAACCGGCCATGAATGTAAGAAAAAAGAGTGAATTAATTCTGAATAGCTGTCTCTGTGGTCTGTGGTCTCCTTCAGAGGCGTACTCAAGGGTGCATGGGGGCTCAGCCCACCCCCCTCCATGGTCAGTAAAATCTATGGTTTTAATCGGGTTTTTAGGCCCCAACGGTTGCTGAGCTGAGAAATAATTTGTCCTTTCATGAGTAAAGAAGTACAAAATTCCTTTGAATGATTTAAAAATAAATTCTTTATATTCAAAAGTTCCAAGATCAGAACTCAATGCTTTATAAAGAGTTGAATCATCTATTCTGAGAGTTCAAAGAGGTTTTCAATAAAACTGTTTTCAAAGGATAAACTTAAGCGGTATTTTCACTCAAGAAAATAAATGATCTTTTGCAAATATTTAATTATCTTTATTTATGGTAAAGCTCTTCGCTCAGTATATATTTATATACATACCTTGCTTGTCTGTTTATTTGTCTGTTTATATCCAATAAACGTAAAAACGGCTGAACCGATCCGGCCCAAATTTTTTGTGGTACCTAAAATTGCCCCAGGAAAGGTTTATGAATAATAAAAATAAAAAAATTGCCTCTAACAAAATTCGATTTTCATTAAATTTTTAAAAATTTTGAAAATCCACGAAATTTCTTTTTTGAATTCCGCAAGTTTTTTGTTTGTTTTGTTTTACAGTGTACACAAAGAGAACAATGTTAAACAATATAGATAAATAAACATATTATTACAAATATACACGTTGAAATAAAAACAGGGGGAAAAGGGGGAGAGGGGGATTAAAACAATAAAAATGATATTTTCTTACCCTGAAGTGTATTTGTCCTAAAAACAGTGTGAAAAGAAGAAAATTTCACGTACGATAAATATTTGAGTACACAGAAAGGAACGAGGAAAGAACCGTTCTCGATAAGAAGGGAACGGAACGGAGATTGAAGTGTTCTCGACCAGGAACCCAAAGAACGGAACGGAACGTGGATGGAACAATTGGAAAAAGAACAAACGAGGACTAAAGGCCCTTGTTCTAGAACGAAACAGAACAATTTATTAAAAGTCGAAACGTGCCCAGCCCTAGTTGAGAGTGAGAATTATCAACGCTTTAGAAATTATGCGTACGCATTTAAAAAAAAAAAAAATATACTTAGCTCCAATGACCTTTGTAATATAAAGAGTAGGCATTGGGATTTATACGCAAAACCAGACGCCTCAATTGGGTTCAATAAGAAGCCATAGAATGTCGTATTTTTTATATAATTCAAAAAGATGTTAGGACTTTTTAAGCATTTCCGTCACCAAAAACTTGCATCTTTACGTAATTTTCCGTTAGAAATGCATAACTTTAGGATCTTTTTAGATA